GGGGGGCAGAAAAGAACCTACAAAGACTGTATCTTTACATACATTAGTAGTTTCTTAAATCATACCTCTGCTCCAAGTTAAGTGAGGACATGGACACTTCAGACCCCAGTGTTTCAAGTCCTATCTTGTTTGTATATAGATAAGAGTACTAGGTCACCACTTTGGGAAAAAAACGCTTTTCCCTGGTGCCTACTACTACTTTGGATGTGTAACTGAGACAAATATGTGCTCACACGCACATGATGATACTGCATCTTGCAACAGTCCTGCCAAAATAGCACACAAGTCTACAGACTTGGTGTAACCCAAAAAAAGCTACAGAAGTCTCTCACCACAGAAAACACCAGAGAGTTAGAGCACAGATCAAGGAACGGTTATGCGTCTCCATTGTTACAGGTTTGGATATAGTGAAAAATACACAGGCTATGCTCGTAATTTCTGCAATTAAAGGCAGGACTATCCCATGGTGAGATAAATACCTGGGAAACAAAGGCTCTACTAGGCACCAAAGCGCTGTTCCGAGGAGTAAATGATAAGCATCAAAACACAGTGCAGTTTCATGACTTCAGAAAAACCCTAATAGGCTATGCCTCTTATTTTGTAACAGATGCCAATTAGAGGAAGTATAAATTTTCCTCTGAATGCAAGAGAATGAAGGCATTGTTCGAACAAGTCTTTCATCTAAAGCATTTATGAAATACTCCGGTAATAAGAGCATGGACTTTTGTAATACCTTCGCGAGTCTGTTTTTACATGTCTCTGTTAGTAACTGTCATTTAGAACAAAGTATTCCAAACAGCTGTTATTAGTAGATTAATAATAATAATCTTCTTAAAATACGGCAAAATGTAACCTCAACCTTCGAAATATTGTTACCAAAATTTAACAGTACTACTTCTGATTTTGCATATCACTTACCATATATGAAGGAAATATTAAAACCCGCTTATGTTTGCCACATGGCCATTGGGGATCATCTAAAAGATTTGGGTCGTATTCAACAAAGTCTCCCAGGTCGCTACCTATAAAACAATGGTAAATATAAGAAAGGAATTCATACATCAAGAAATCTCTGGAATCAACAGAAGTGGCAAACGAGTTCACAAGCAATGCACAAGATGATCTTCATGCAAGATTTTAGAAAGAGTTGAAAGATTTTTCTAAATCTTGAAAACTCCAAGTATATCAATAGTAATGCAATCTGAAAAGATAATAGACAACCTACAGCTTATGTATTACCTGGTAAATGCAAATTTAGGGCTTAAAGAACTGCAAAATTATATGAAGCTCCACAATGGCTTCTATTCCTGGCAACCAGTTTTCATCTGTTTATGCAGATGTTTTGATTTGTTTCATTTAAGATGCCAAAATATCTTAAGCATATAGTGCTTTGGCTTATGTTTTGTGCCCAGTTTTGTAAACACAGCCCTCTCCAGCCTAATAAAGGTCATGGGGATGATTTACAACTTCAGCTTGGCTACCGTGTCGCCACTGTAAATTTTCCATAGCAAATTCCTAACGATAAGCCTGATGCAGGAGGAACAAACAATGCTGGTGACAGGAGGAGGCACGCCGAGTCCCATCAGGGGCTGTCAATACGACCAGCAGCCTTGTTTACTTAATTTCCCATCATCTGTAAGCCAGCTTTGCTAAACAAACAAGGAACGTGCTGTGTTTCACCCATGAGACTACATTTTTCTTAATTTAAGCATAAAAGGGGGCATGACATAATGTCCATCCCTCGCAATAACTGCCTATCAGCAGGGTACCCAAGGATATGAAAACAAGCTTCTTGAGAAGTTACCTGCATCAATGCTTCCCTGGGTGCTGTTAGCTCTTGCCAAAGAAAGGCTACGATGGCTTGCATTGCGAAATTGGGAGAAGGATGAGGTGGAGTCTATTGTGTTCCTCCGAGTTCCCAGAGCATTGGTGGGAAATAGGAACTGTGTGTAAGAAACCGTCTAAAAAAAAAGTCAGAATGGACACAGTTACTATCAGCCCATCTCAGCCATAGTGTGATGCCTTTGGTGCATCCCAATTGGAAGCAAGGGAAGCCAAATTAGCAGAGGGTTTTCTAGATTTAATAGTTAGGCACAGATGAGTAAACACCAGCCACCTACATTTGCTTCAGTGCAGTCAGTTTGTCCATGCAAAAAAAAAAAAGCTTTTGCATTAATTCTTCAACAAAACAAACGCACACACACAAGCTCTAATACACTGGATTTACAAAATCCTACTCAAGGGTCAGATTTAAAAATATGTCAATTTGGTACCCTTCTCTGTAGCAGGTTTCAGCTGCTTCTTTACTGAAGCAGCATCATCTATATGGGTCCCTCAGCACAGAGCAGCCAGAAGCAAATCATTGGAACATTGCTAAACTTAAGCACTTTGGTATTTTTCTGCTTTAGGATTTTGTCTGGCAGAGTCTTATTAGTGTAGTAAGTGAGCTACCAGTATACAGCAATGGTCATGAGAGATCATTTACTGCTTCCCAACATGGATTAAGTGTGAATGAACAACTTGTGACAAAATTATTTTTAGAGTGTACCAATTCTCTGCTTGCACCCTTGGCCAGGAATAGACTACGCCGTGCTTCTCGCAGGTTTATTGTCCAAAACCAACATTATATTGAAGAAAAAATAGTGAGACTAAAACTCTAGACTGGTTTACGAGGAGGCCAGAACAGGTATCAAATAAATCATGTGAGCTTTCATTTATTTATAAGCAGACAGATTGTCCTCAGGAATTTACAGCCTCTGGTCTGGCCCAACACCTGGTTAGGTGAGCACACCATGTGCAGCAATGACCTAGGGCCTTTAAATCCATAAATGACAGCAGATTGGGTAAATGGAACTGTAATCATGCTTTCAGTAAAAAATGTTTTAATTTATGATTTAAATTGTCTCTCCTCTATATATTTGTTTAAAATGGATATTTTTCCCTAAAGATTCATAATTGCTTATTCTATTCAAGTGAATGCACTCTTGAGTTTTGAAATACTAATCAGATTTGTACCGCTGTCTTCCTGCTTTTAGGAAAAATATACTGTGAAGCAAAATTTATTATATTAAATAAAACTGAAAGTGAACAGAATTATAGCTTACAACTCTCACCAGAAATTATTTTCAAGCCCCTGGCAATATGCTCTGTAGTGATACCTCCTGTTAAAGGAAGGCTGCATGATTCAGTAATGCTTTACAAACTCAGATGTTGCCACAGGCAAATTTTTTCAAGGAAAGAGAGCTGTTTGCATTGACAGCTTGGGCAGTCCTCCTAAACTTCAGTTTACACACACTGTGCTTTAACTACTGTGTTACACTGCAAGTTGTAATTTATTTTTGTATCTGTGCTTGTTACTACTTACACAATTTTTTCCTTTATTAAAATCTAAGAGAGTAGGAACTGAACCATCCCCACCTTCCCATCCGCTCCGAGCTCCACGCCTTCAAGACCAATTATCTCTTTGAGACACACTCCAGCAGAATGGCACTGGCGCCCACCGTCCAGCTTCATATCCCTGGGGAGCAGAAACCAGAGGAGAAACAGCAGTTAACACACACACATGCCTTGTTTACCTTTCACCACCCAATGGTGAAATACAGTATAGCAGCTTAAATCCAAACATGCCAATGCAAAGCACAGACCAGAAAGCTTTTCCTACAGGCAGCATCCGCGTGGTCTAAAATACATTACAGCAATCAGTTGCAGAAAAATCCCCTTGTGTTCCAGGTTGCACCTCATGCCCCACCTGTGGTGCAAAGCAAGGTTCCCCATCATTAGGTGCTTCTGACAGAACTTGGCACTGGGAGGGAACTGGGAGTCCTACAAATTTCAGGTGAGATCCAACAATCCAGCTTGAACACTTGACAGCCACGTATCCAGCAGACGGATGCTCCCGGAGTACATACCCACATGCTCCTACGCCACCGGACAGAGATGCAATGCCCAGGAAAATGTCTGGTTTCACTGATTTTCTGGGTTCCTGCTCCTCCGAGTGGTCCAGAGCCCAGTGACCCTCCTGCTGGAGGCTACCAGAAGAAACCCAGCTCTCCATCAGCTGGGGATGGAAACTTGGGGATCTACTTTAGGAGGACTGACCCGTTTGGCACCTTACGCTTGGAGGTAAATGAGATGCCTGACACAAGCAGGCTGTATCCCATGCTTTAGCCTCACGATCAGAACGTGACTGAAGGTGACAAAGACTATTTATGGTCTGCAAATGACGACTGTATGCAACTCTGGAGTTTTTATCTTGCAATATTTTCCCCAAGGTGCAAGTATGTGCTTAAAAATCTGTGTGGAAGAGATGCTGACACTGGGGCAGAGAGAAGCCTTGTAGACTCTTCACCCAATTGCAGGGCTGGGCAAAGTCTCCTACTTTGTCTCTGCACGCCCTGTTTCCTTGTCTTCCCTTTCCAACCTGTCACGCATTTTATTTCTCTGAAACATAGCTATTGGTGAGTCCCCCATAAATCATGTACCTTACTGCTGGAAAAACATGTCTATCTGCTGGAAAACATATTTTTGTGACAAAGGAAAAGACTATATCAAGTTCCTAATTCCAACAAAGCCCTCTTAGTTTCTTGATCGGGGTTCATTTAGCACAGTGTCACATTATCGTTCTTGTTTCCTGATATCATGTTACTCAGTGCCTGGACAAATAATTACATAAAAATAACCCTCTGTCAGAGGCATGGGATTAGACTCTCTGCTCTTGCACAGAACATGCTTCAAAGAACTATTTCACATGGAGATATATGCCAAATAGTAACTATTTCAGCAGGTCTTATCCAAGAAACAAGTACACAATTTGAGGAAGCCCCCAAATCCAAAAGTGAAAACAAAAATCTGAATTACCTGAAATACTATCAGGACTGTTTAGTTTCCTCCCACTCAAAATCTTATAGACACAGAGTAAGAAATAATGCCATTACAACTTTGAAAACGAGTCACGAAGAAATTTCTCCATGCAATTAACACGCAAGGATAGATAACTCTGTAATTAATCAAACGAAAATCTGGCACCCTTCAAAGAGTCAGCACAGCCACTTTAAAAAGAAAAAGAGCAGCTTCGAGGACTGAAAGGAAATCAGTGCTCTGGGAGCAGGAATCAGGGTCAGCAGGCAAGGGTGGACATGCATGGGAATGATCCCTGGATATCAGCTGAAGACTGAGGGACATTCAAGCCTCCATTTTCCCCATCTTTCTGATGTTTCTAAAGACAACTCTACCTTCAGAACCCTGTGGACAACACTGCAGTTACTATCCTTCATCCTGAGCAGCACAGGCTACTTAGGGTCTTTTGCTCCTCTGCATTTCTAGGTAGTACATAATGGCTTGTGTTGTAAAACAGAGTAATAAAATATTACTGTTTGGAGAGAAATCTGTCCATAAAACAGAGAATTAAACTCCCTCTCTTGAGGAAAATCAGTACTAACCAATGTGTAGTTTCTTATCAACTTATACATATATGTATATGTATGTTCTTATATGTATATACATCTACGTTATGTGTATGTATAATTCATACATTATATGTATGTTCATATATGTACATATGTTCTTATCAACATCGACATATAAATGGAAAGGCTCATCCTAGCTTATACATATCCTTCTCTCTCAGGTAAAAAAATCTCAGTTACTACCTAATAAGAAATTCCTATGCAACTATACCAAATCCTTTCTGAGTTTCCTATCACTACACTCAACACCAAGCTAGTCAAGTTTTTGCAGGACAAGCCTTGATTTTTTTCCCCTCCCTTCTCTTACAGACAAGTTCACAAATGCCCCAGCAAAGCTCCTGCTGGGACAGCAAGCCCAGGGGCTGCCACCCTACTGCTGGGGGAGCCCCAGCACAGCTGCTTCCTGCCTACACCCCCAAAATCCCAAAGCAATTAGGAAAGACCTGGGGGGTGCCCCAGTTTGCCCTCTCCAAAGGGGTCAATTGTGCCTGGGGAACAGTCAGGATGGTTGTCTGGGTACAGTCACCACGCCAGCGCTGCTAACCACCACCACCAAGTTCTTCAGGACACCAGCCCTTGGTGGAACCATGGCCAACAGGCCCTGTGAGACAGGAGCACATGAAGGATAGGCACTTTGTATAAAAGAAAAACCAAGCTTTCACTGTGTTTAAGTTATTTAGATTACCAATGGCACTAAGGAACTGCACAAACCAATATCCAACAGTGAAAGGTGCTCACAAAATGCAGAGCAGAAAAGACAGTCCTTTCCAAAGAGGCTTTTAAGTCAAGAAAACTTCCTTCCTCCTTTTCCTCACTTTTAAATTTTCCTCAGTTTTATTTTCCAAAAGTGCTTTTTAACAAAGTTTTCAAGGGATTCGAACTGACACCAAAAAGCAAAAATAAATAATGGGAACTTAAATTTACTACTTTCACTTTATTTGAGCTTGAGGAAATGAGAAGAGAGAGTGATGACAGGAGACAAAAAAACTAGATGCCAGTTTCTGACAAAGTTTGGGGAGTTACCCTGATTTACATCAATGTCAAGCTCTAAATATTCTGTTCATGCATACCATTTCCAGAAAGCTGAGCAGTGTTATAAACTAGACTCAAAACTAAGCACATTGTTTTAGTTACCCAGGACTGCAGAATAAAATGAAAGTTTCTCCACCTAATAAGAGTTCACAGATTTTCTTGGAACAGTACCAGGTGACTTGGGATCCCAGATTTTAGGTGGGATGGTGAAAAATAGGTAGATAAGAATCAAAAGAGGAAATCTCACCATGTCTTTTATTAGTCAGGCCGGGATCATCAGAATATAAATTGGATGCTATTACTTTCAGAAGTATAACATTTCTTTAATGAATCAAACATTATGCTTTGACGTGATCCATAAAGCCCCATGCAAGACCCCTGCTGGGCACTTGCTCTTTAAATGACAGCAACAGTTGAACACTTTAACCTGTGAATAATTCAGGAGTCCATTAATTATTAAATACATTTCTAGACACATGAAAAAGCCTTCGGCTTCTTGCAAAAAGGGATCTGATAACTGTTATTTAGAGATGTAAGCCTTCTGTGTCTGTATCTTATGCTTAGTGACTCCTGACTGTTAAGATTTATTCTAAAAGCAAAGGCAGTTCATAAGCCATCAAGAAAAGCTTCTGCTCTTACTGTCACTGCAAATACTCTCTACTTATCATCTCTGTTTACAGGCACAAGGACAATGACAGCTTTGGAAGAGGTGCACTGCCAGCCAGCCCTGCAGCACATCTCCTCCACCAAGACTGTCTGCTTTAATTGATCCAGAGCTTTCAGATCCTAATTGCCATTAATGTTGCTAAAACAACAACTCCAGCAGCAATTTACAGGGAGAGGAGGTGGAGAAACTCCTGGAAAAGTGGCTTTAATGGGCCAGTATCCTTTTTCTCTCTCCAAACGTATTCAGGTGTCAGCACATCAGCTCTTGTCCTGATGTTTAGCCCAACGCAGAGTAAAAGTTCAAAATTTAAACCTATTAGCTTTTGGGGATTCACTGCTTGATTTCAGTCTAATGGTACAGGGCAACTCACAAAAACAAGCAACGGTGACTCTATAAAATTCATGCATGGGATTATTATTTTTGAAATATCCTGGCGTGAGGAAAACCCCAGATTTTTGTGTCTTTCTGTAAAGCTGATATGCACTTGCTATTGGATTTAGTTCAACTTGGGAGAAGCAAGGGAAGTGGGCAATGGTAAAGAAAAGCAGGGATATTTCAGTTTCCCTGTTATTGGCTAAAACCAGATAGCTATTATTCCCCAAGCCTATGGAATGGTAAACGTTCAGGAAAAGCACTCAAGACTGATTATGAAAACCGCCTGAAAACCGCACACAAAATCTGTTGGGGAAGAATAGCAAGGAACTGGGTAACAAATCTGAAGGACGTAACAGAGTACCCCACTTCACTGTGTGCTTATTGCTACCATCCCTATGGCAATTTCTCCTGTAAATAGTCCCATTTTCCACACTCACTGCAATGCTTGTTACTTGACCTGCCAAATAACTGACAGCAGGGGTGCAGCGTGCAAGACCTTACCTAAATGCTTCTTTTTGCCTCATTTTGCATGTGACTTTCTTACTCATTTTAAATGAACAAAGATTACAGAGTTGAGATAACGAAGGCCATTGGGAATGCCTGGCCTATGGACTCATTGATCGTTGTGGCTACATGTTATTTGGGATGATGGTATTGGAAACGTCTTGCTTGCAGCATCATTGCGCTCATTAGCATTCTGGCCAGCACTTAGTTAAATTCAAAGTTAAATTCAGCAGTGCTTTATCTTTAGAAACTGGATGAAGCTGGTTTGTAGCATTTCTGAGAAGAATAAAAATTCTTTTTCTCTAATGACTTGCTGCTTTACTTTAAAAGAATGGTCTGTTTCCTGGGCTTAAATCCATTTGATTACTTATATTATTTCCCTTAACTGGAGGCAAGTTTAGTCAGATAAATACCTATATTCTTGTCAAGACAGCAATATTCAGCAGCGATGCCTACTGCAAGTAAGTTTCTAAC